TGCAGTTAAAGCAAAACAAAACAAAACAAAACCCTCTTACTGATATATAATATATGGAGAGAAAAGTAGCAATATATGATTTGATGAATTTCCTTGAAGTAAATATAACTGTGAAGCTAGCATTCATACCAAGAAAGAAGCTATTGCAGAAGCCCACTCATCTTCAATTCAGTGCCTCCTCCAGGAATAACCTTCGTCCTGACTGCTAATGCACCGGGCTGGTTGAGCCTGTCTCTGGCCCTTGTCTGAATGTTATCATACACTACGTTCTGTTGTGTCTTGCTTCATTTACCAAACACTGCATCTGTGAGAAATGTTGTTGTGTGTAGCTACAGTCTCTCATTTCTTTTAGTTACCCCATTGTATTATTAGTTTCCTGTCATGGTTCTAGAAAATGATCACGCATTTCACGGTATAAAACAACACACATTTGTTTTTTAGTACTGGGGATCAAAAGTCCAAAATCAACTTTGCAGAACTGAAATCAAGGTGTGAGCATGGCTCATTACTTTTTAGACTCTGGAGGTAGAATTTATTTCCTTTTCTTTTCCAGCTTCCAGTGGCTGCCAGTAGTCCTTGGCTTGTGGTCCCTTACTTTGTCCCCGGAACACATCACTCCATTATCTGCTTCCTTTTCATATCACTTCCCCCTTGTCATCAATTCAGTCAGTCTCCTCCTTTTGTTTTTTGTTTTTGTTTTTGTTTTGTTTTAGATTTTTGCTATAAGGCACATGTGTTTGCTGGAGAGAGAGAGAGAAAGCAAGAAATCACTCCCCTACGGGGTGACCATGCTGTAATCCCTTTTCCTCCATTCTCCTTTTGGGATTTTGGGCACACATGCCCAGTGTGAGTTTTAAGCCACCAAGTCCAGAACTTGAACCACTATGTTGACTATGTGTGAGTCCAGTGACATAACCATTATGCCATCTGCCGGTCCCTGGTCTCCTTCTTATAATTAATATATATATTTTTTCTTTTTGGCCCTTGTTACACATACATTCTTATGAGTACATGTACACATACACACACACCTATTGTGGATGCAGATATAGGACTCGATTACATGGAAAGTGTAAGTTCTACTTTAGAAGATAGTGCCAGTTTTCCAAAGTGGTTGTACCAATTTATGCCCATCCTAGCAGTATGTGAGGGTGTCAGAGGTCTCTTACGAAGAACAGAGTGTAATTTGTACCTGACAATTTCATTCTAAAATTAAAGCCATTAATACTCCCCATTTTCTTTTTTTCTTTTTCTTTCTTTCTTTTTTTTTTTTTTAAGAATTCTTTGTTTCTTCCTTCCTTCCTTTTGACAAAGTGAGTGAGAGAGAGAAAGAAATTTAGAAAGCAATCTGCCAAGTCTGAACTGTTGTGGGCCATGTGGGAGTCCAGTGACCTAAATACCACACCACCTGCTGGCCCTAGTACTCCCCATTTTAGAGCCTTTGTATATAATCTAGAGTTTTTCCAGGGTGTGTTTATATGAACAGAAGTCCTGAGAGACTGTAGGAGACAAGGAAGCTTTTACCAAATGAATCTGGGAAATACTGGATCTGGGTGGGAGACCCACACTGCAGTTGACACAGCACAAGTATTAAGCGTGTTTAGCTTGATCCTTTTTTTTTGCCTTAAGTCTCCCAAGTGAATCTAACTCTCACTCGGTTTCTCTTTTTGGAGGTCTCAATACGGAGTTCTAAGGAATATCCTTTGAGAATTCCGAAGTAAACCATAACTGAGGAGGATCTTTGCTATTAAAAAAAAAAAAAAGTAATGAGAAGTTCTTACAGTTTTCTCTTAGAAGGGAAAAACACAGTCTGCCTTTGAGTGTTCTCTCCATAATGTAAAGACCTATCTCTATGGAGAAGTAAAAAAACTATCAGAAAATGGATTGAATTTGCTTCTATTTAGTTTCTCTTTGGAGAGGCCTGTATTTTTGGGAGAATTGATTTGCACTGCTGTGGTTTTAAATTTTCTACCTAGGAGCCTGGTGTCAAATATAATTTCTACTAACTAGAAATAGTGTTGGTGAGATTCATCCAGAAATATTTGCCCCTTATGTAGTTCTTCTCTAGTGAGGTCTCACCATGCACTTCCACACCTTTGCCTTTTTTACTTCTCTAAACCAATATGTAACAAAAGGGTATTCTGCTTATTACTTCTTTTTCTTGGTCTGTGGTTTGTTTGTTTATTTATTTCTATTTAAGTATTGTCTTTTTTGTGTCACTGGATGGTCCTCTTTGTACCAGGATCTCTGCTCTGAGGCACATCATCCACCCACCCAGAAGCTACCCAGCTCTCCTGACTCAGCTCTGTGCCTTTCCAGGACTATGCGTTGCTTTGTTGGTTTGGGGAGCAGAGGCTGGGACAGATGGGACCATGGAATATGAGTGAAAGAAGCACTGATAGTGGCTAAAATTTAGCTTGGAAGTTAAAATAATCCATATATTATACCCCTGAGCATTCTCTCATAATTATTTCATCCTCTTGCCTTGGGACAGTGTTGTCAAGCTAGACAGGATATGGAATAGAGTATTCAGTAGTGTTCCACACAATGATATAAGGGATTAAGTGCTTACTATTTTCCATTTTCTGTGCAGTTCTTCCTCAGTTGAATGAAGATTTTCACTAGAACTTTTTTTTTCCTAATAGTTTAACTTTTTACCTTTTTATTGCTAATTTACAATCATAGGAGAGGTAGCCCCTTGCATGTATGTTATAATGCTTTTATTAGTGGATTAATTGTCAGTTTTTGTCTCTTCTCATAGTGGCTGTAGAAGTCAGTGAAAAATGAGACCTAATCTGAATTTGAGGATCTAATCTAAATTTGTTGGTCTTAGTTTTCTATTCGAAGACTTAGAAATGGGGTCTAGACTAGATGGCCTCATAAGTCACTCCTTTATTTTTTATTTTTTTTATTTTTTGCCATAGGGTTTATACATTCATTAGAGAGAAAGAGACAGTGAGAAGGACAGTGAGAAATCACCCTCGGGATTGGGGGGTGGGGGAGATGGCCATGCCATAATCCCTTCTCCTCCATTCTTTTCCTGGGATTTTGGGCATACACACATGTGCACCCAGCATGATTTTCAAGCCACCAGAACTGGAACTCATACTCCATGTGGGAGTCCAGTATGTTAGCCACTATGCCAATCTGCTGGTGTCACTTGTTTCTTGATGGTCTAGTGCTCTCATTGATGACGGTTGTCATGATAGATGAAACTAATTTCTATGTGCCTAATACTTTTTAAAAAATATTTTGCTATAGGGTATGTGTACTCACATGAGTATGCATGTGAAAGAGAGAAAATGAAAAAAAAAGGGGAGAGGGGGATGGCCATTCTTTCTCCTCTATTCTCATTTTGGGATGTTGGGTATGCACACTCATGTACCTGGTGTGATTTTCTTTTCTTTTTTTTTCTTTTAGAGGTTTTTTTTGCTATAGGGCACATGCCAGACAGAGACAGAGAGACAAAAAGTGAGAAATCACCCCCCCTGTGGGGGATGGCCATGCCATAATCCCTTCTCCTTTCTCCTCTTGGGATCTTGGGTGTGCACGTACATGCACCCGGTGTGAGTTTAAGCCACCAGGTCTGGGACTTGAACCACGGTCGACTACATGGGAGTCCAGCGATGTAGCCATTATGCTAACTGCTGGTCCCAAAAATCATGCGTGTTGAGAGAGACAGAGAGAGAGATGGACTCTGCCACAATCCTCCAGCCTCCATAGGTTTTTGCCATAGGGCGGGTGCCACCACGCTCCCTGGTGTGATTTTCAGGTCTGTAGGTCTGGGACTTGAACCATGCAGTTGGCCATGTGGGACCAGCTGCCTTAACCACCATACCACTGGCTGGCCCCTGATATTCTTATAAATAAATGTGTGTGCTCTCTCTATATCTGTATCTATAGCTATACAAAGTAATCTGATGAGAAAGGTACAGTTGTTATCCCTGTTTTACAGATAGAAAAATGGATGCACAGAGCTATGTTTAAAATCAGCCATCTGGGGAACCAGCAGTTAGCGTAATGGCTATGTCGCTGGACTCCCACGTAGTCGACTGCGGTTCGCGTCTCGGACCCGGTGGCTTAAATCTCACGCCGGGCGCGTGTGTGTGCATGCCCAAGATCCCGAGAGGAGAATGGAGAAGGGATTGCGGCATGACCATCCCCCCTGGGGGGTGATTTCTCGCTTTCTGTCTCTATGTCTCTGTCTGTCTGGCGAGCGCACGCGCCCTATAGCGAAAACCTCTCCAAAAAAAAAAAAAAAAAAAAAAAATCAGCCATCTGGAAAGTGGTGGAGCCAGGGTTTATAGTCAGGCTAGTCTGCCTTCATTCAGCAGGCAAATCGTATTTACTGAAAGTGAATTTGTGAATGTTCTGCACTTCCTTAAATCTAATACCTACATATAATGCCCTAAACTTTCTGCCATTACCCAGCACTCCTATTCTTGTTGCTCTTGTCTTTTCTTTTTAATCACTTCTCTGTTGGTGCACTCTTGCTTTAACACACTGTGTGGGAGCTGCTGCTCCTGTGTGGCCATTGGAGAAGCACTCTGGGCCCGTGGCTGTCCTTTGTGGTGAGTGTGCTATCTATGTCTCTGCTGGGCTTGTTTTATCTTCTGTTCCACCCACTGCTGGCTTCTCTAGTCTACATTCTTTGGTTGGTATTTGAATCTGTTTCCTTCACCTAAGGACAGACCTCTGACATACTGATCCTTGAAGTCAGTAAATGTAGCGTGTGTGTTACCCTGGGGCATATGCTGACTTTCCAAGAGGTATTGGGTCGATGGACAGCTTTACAGAAACTGTATCAGATCTTCAATTTCCCTGTAAATTCTGGATTTGCCCAGGAACACTAATGTGTTGCCTGGCTTTCCCTCTCCCAAACCTTATCCTGGCATGTAGTCTTAGCCCATAACTCCTCCTCCAACTCCCCAGGGTGCCAGACAAAGGAGAGTAGCAGTGTAGTGTTGACATAGGGAATTTGGGAATGATCCTTTGGCAAGCCAAGTGACTTTTAAAAACAAAATTAAAGGTGACCTTTAAACAGTTTGTCAAGGAAAGGTGATAATATAAGATCATATTTAATGACCTATCATTTTGGAAGGGCATAAATTTTAGAAGTTCAAAAAATTAAGTGCCACTGGTATAACACTTCTTCCAATCTCATCAACTTATTTACATGAACAAGTTTTTTCTATGTTTCTAATATCATAAATGGAATAGAATTGCTGTTGAAACTTTACTATTCTAGCATTAAAAAAACATTCAGGGAGACCTGGAGATGGTGTAATGCTTATGTCACCGGACTCTAATGTAGTCGACTGTGGTTTGAGTCCTGGACCTGGCAACTTAAAACTCATGCCAGAAGGTGGGCACGCATACCCAAGATCCTGAGAGGAGAGTGGAGGAGAAGGGATTACAATGTGGCCATCACCCCTAGGGGGCGATTTCTCACTTTCTGTCTCTCTGTCGAGTGTATGCATCCTATAACAAAAATCTCTCTGGAAAAAAAAAAAAATTCAGGGACGCTTGAACCAACTGGTAAAAATAAGCTATCTCTATTGATCTTAATGAAAAATGCATTTCCAATAAAAATATACTTTTATGCTTACTTTCATTTTTAGTTATTATAAGATTATCTAGTTCTGTTAAATTGCATTATATTAATAATTGTAATAATAATCCAGATGACATTTTTAACAGTTGGACCCATTTAGTCGCAGGAAATGAAAAGTAACTTTTAATATTTATAATTATTTTGCCGAAGAAGTATGATAATGTGATCAATGAGCCTAAAACTATTAGCCTAAAACTATTATACTAAAATAAAATTATATGGAAGAAATGGAATGTAAATATAAGCTTGAGGAAAAAAGGAAGTATAAAAATGTGAGCACAGAAGAAAAGGTTGTCATGTATTTCTTTTATATAGATTATGGCTATCACATCACTATGATATTTAAATAACATTGGATATATTTTAAAACTGATTAAAAGCTGTTTTAGTTTGAAATGTCAATATTTATAAAATTCTAGAATTAGATTCAATGACATTATTTGAACCTATGACAAATGATTTTAGATGTTAATTTCACATTGTGTTAGGGCATACATAGTACCTGGAAATTCTTTGGATGAGCATGGAAGCAAAAATATCTGTAGACGACTTCTGTGGAGTACCTGACCTGCAGGGCTCAAGATATCCCTTATTCTGTTTTCCTGTTCATCACCTTGACAATGGTAACCAGTCTAGTGGAGTCCCATGAGTAGAAATGATGTCACCATTTTCAGCTATATTTTTCTCTTCTGTGTGTGTGTGTGTGTGTGTGTTTTGGGGGGTTGCTAGAGGATGCATGTGCTTGTCAGAGACAGAAAGTAAGAAATCACTACCTTGGTGGATGGGCCTGACACAGTCCCTTTTCCTCCATTCTCTTAGGATTTGGGGCACGCATGCACATGCGCCCAGTATGATTTTCAAGCCTCATGGTCTGGGATTTGAACCATGATTGGCCATGTATGAGTCTAGCACTTAACTACTATGCCATCTTCTGGTCCTTTCCTTCTGTCTTGACTCAGTTTCCAGTAAGCCAGCATTCATTCAACAAATACATGGTTCTTAGTATGCTAAGCATAGGACTCATAGATGAAGAGGACAGAATTTTCCCTCAAGAAACTTGGTCTATGGAAGTTGGCCATTCTCATTCCAGGTAATGAGCACTCAGCTGGAAGGAAGCAAAGGTTTCCATGGTACATCAGGCCCTGAAGAGGAGAATTTTCTTGAGGCCTGAACTTAGATCTAAGTTGAACCCTGAAAAATGGGGTCCCAGAGTAGGCCAGGACTATTTAGCCAGGTGAGGGAGGGGGGTACTTTGTGCTGTGGGGAAAGAAGAATTCACTTCTGGTAAAAAGCTCCTATTAAGATGGAAAGATAGCCAACATTACTCTTTCTGGTGTGGAGCAGGACTGGATGGGAAAAGATGCCTATTTCTATGGTCTTTAAAACATTTCTTTGAATAATTTTCTTATCTGGGCAGAGGACAAAGTGGGTATTTTTAAAAATTAATTAATTTTTTTTTTTTTTTTTGCTGTAGGGCATGTGTGCTTGCCAGAAAGGCAGAGACAGAGAGATAGAAAGCAAGAAATCACCCCACAGGGAAGATGGTCACATTGCATCCCTTCTCCTCCATTCTCCTCTCGGGATCTTAGGCACGCATGCGCACACACACCTGGCATGAATTTAAGCCACTAGGTCTAGGACTCGAACCATGGTCAGCTACATAGCCAGCGACATAACCGTTACACCAACTGTTGGTCCCCAAAGTGGGTATTTTTAATATTCCAGAATTGTAGTTCTGCATCTATCCATCAAGAAAAGACTTCTTTGGCACTTGTAGTTTTGACTGTTTTCTAGCAAACTGGAGGTGAGTAGCATATCCAATGTATTAATTTTGACATACGGTTACACCCAGTGCAGACTCAGCCAAGCGGTCTCTAGGGATCACAAAGGCATAGAGTTAGATTTCCCAAGTTGGAAAGAGGCTTTCAGAAATGAATTTCTCTCTCTGCTCTCAGTGACTTCGCTACTATTTCCCCGGGGAGGTTGCTAGGCATTTAATAGATCTCCATGTTAGGAAAATAAATTCTTAGCGTTTCAGTCCGAGGTGCTTTTCCTCCCTTGGCCTCAGTTTTGTTTGGTGGAGGCTGCATCTAATCCCTTTTATGTTCATATTTATAGAAGGTTTCTAGATGATCGTTCCTGCCATTAGCATTTGGACAGTTGCAGGTCTGTGTTGCTTTTCTTTCCCCTTAGACATAGCCCTGCTAGGTGCCCGAGGGAAGGAAGGAGGCCATGGGACTGCTGGGCCCAGGCTGGTTCCCACCACCTCCACACAGCTGGTAGCCTGCCTTCATCCCCAGGCTCTCACTGGGACATGAGGGACTGCATTTCAGCTGTGACAATGTTTTGTTGCTCTTGGCCATTGCACAGTGGTTCACATCCTGTGTGCTTAAAAAAAAAAGTCCTTCTTTCAAAGACTCTTTTCAGTGTCTGCAGAGTTTATGTGGTGTGAGAGGCACACGGAGACAGGCTCTATACACATTTCAAACCAGTGTGGTGGTAGCTTTGCGAAGGGAAGAGAGCATGAGCAAATGAAAGGGGCCATATTTGAAAGAACCACTTTTTGAAAGCACCCTTTAATCCTTGCCTTGAAGTACAGGTTTTTAAGTTATAATATCTTCTCATTTCATCAGACACATGGCCTCTTCTACTTGCTGGCACTTCCTGAGTTCAGTACAGGCCTCTTAAGTGAAAGCTCTTCTGTATCTAAAGAACCTGAAGAGTATGAGGGTCTGGGATCAGTTCAAGTGCCCTGGGGTAAGGGTGGGGAGGGGAATGCTGATGAGAGAGAGAGTCCAACTGGCCCAAAGTGTGGCTACCTCAGGGCCACACCTCTGTAATGCTATGCTGTCCTGCTTGACCCTGCCTCCTCATTGTGTCCTGCACACCAGGTCTTGTTTCCTCTTGGTTACTCCCCATGCTGTTCAGCTTCTCTTCTATGCCCACGTTTGACTTCCAGTCCAGTTCTTCAGTATCACTTCATGTTTTGAAGGAGGGACCTGGACTCTTTCTTAGTCATACCCTTATCAATTCATGTGCTTAACTGCCTGGGTTCCAATCTCCCTCCTCTTTTAGTCCCTTGTAGAGTTAAATATTAGCATCAACTGAGAAATACCCAGTGTCTGGAATTTTCTAGTTCTAGATCTAGAACTTCCTAGATCTTCCAAACGCAGAATGGTTGGGGTGAATTATGGAAGTGAACTGCATGTGTTTGGGAATTATTTGCCTTTTGGAAGCTATGAATCTAACTGCAGTGGATGGCATGAGGTAGCCTGCAGTAAGGCTAACCTCTACTGAGAAGACACCATATTGGATACTTACTTTTGGTTGGCAGATTTTTATTGTTTAATTTTGCTGGAGTCCATATGTTCTTGCCAGAAAGAGTCAGAAAATAAGGGAGAGAAAGCATCCCGTGGTGGGGCATGGTCACGCCACAGTCCCTTCTCCCTCATTTTTCTATCCTGTCAGAATTTAAGGATGTATGCATACATGCAACCATGTTTTTCAAGCCATCAGGGCTGAGATTCAAACTGAATGGTTGGCCATGTGGGATCCAGCTTCCTTAACCACTAGGCCGCTAGCTGGCCTGCTTGGCAGTTTTTTGTTTGTCTGCCAGAGATTATGTGTGCTCACTTGAGAGAGAAAGAGACAGGGAAAGTGAGAAAGCACCCTTCCCCCATGAGGTACAGTCATCAGTCATACCACAATCCCTTCTTCATTTCTCCTTTCAGGATTTCAGGCACACACACACACACACACACACACACGCCTGGCATGTTTCTCAAGCTACTGGTTCTGGGACTTGAAATATGTAACGGGCCATATGGGATCCAGCCACCTTACCCACCACACCACGAGCTGACCCTCACTTGGCAGTATTAAAAGCCTTCTCAAACCTGAAGAGTTATAAGAAAGGATATAACCAATTATTTTTGGAGGAAATATAAATTGATTTGATTCCTAATGAGTCATCTTCCTAATGGGAAATCGCGGTGAAATAAAGCTGGGAAGAGCTTTTTAAAAAGTTTTCATTTATTCCTTAAGCTAAAGAATTTTCTATTTGTAAACTATCAGCTGAGTAAACATTAAGACCAAATGTTTAATGGGTTATACAATATCCTAAATTGTCTACCAAATGAGATGAAATAAAATATTCTTTTCTCACTGTTCAGTATTTTACAGTTTGCTTTTCTTATTTATTGAAATTTGGCAAGCACTAATGTCTGCCACATTGTTAAAACAAAATACAATTAAAACAGGCTTTTTCTTGAGAGTACTTGTATTTTGTGTTGTATTTGAAAAGGTTTTGTAATGAACTTGTCTGAATTTATGTTTAAGAATTTTCAGGCAATGTTTATAGTAATTGGAGCACTAACTCCCCTGAGGACAGAGAAGGGTTGCCTTTACAGAGAGTTACTATTAGTGGTAAAAACAGACATTCTTGTTGAAGTGTAACAGCAGTCATACTAATAGAGCGGCTAATGTTGAATGCTTGTTACATGTTTCTTCGGTTAATGGGGAGGCCTTTAAAAATTCATATTGAAATATGATCTCAGATGTTGATTAGTGATGGATATTGTTTAATGTGAGCCTACTAAAATTATTTTTTTGCAATGATTTAAATTTTTTTCAGATGCAATTTCACCATCTAATAATATGATCACAGAGCTATATGTGATTTGATAGTCATTTAGAATTCATGATCTATATTTATAAATAAGATGGAGTTTTATGTCTTGTACTATTTTTTGAAGTTTTGATATCAAGGTTATGCTGATGTTTTGTCATTTTTTTTCACTTAATTTGTATCTATTTTTATTCTTCGATTTGACTAGAGAGAAAGAGAGGAAAAGGCCATGTCTGGGACTCCCACACCGGTTGGCTATGTGGGGGGGCGGGCAGCCTAACCCTGGTACTACCTGCTGGCTCCTATGCTGACATTTAAAACATGACATGGGAAACTTTCCTTGATTTTTCTATATCATGTAACATTTTCTTTTTCTTTCTTTCTCTTTTTTTTCTTTGAAGAATTATTCCATTTGACTTCCGTCCTTCCTTTCTTAATTTGACCAGAGAGGAGCACAGCAAGAATAAGAAAGGTGGGGGGGGGGGTGAGAAAGCAAGCCACCAGGTTTGAGACTCGAACCACAGTCAGGTATGTGAGAGTCCAGTGCCCTTAACCACCACGTCACCTGCTGGCCCCCCAATAGCATAGAGATTCTGTGTTTCTTAAAGATTTGCTTATGCTCCCCTGTAAAATCATTATCAATATTGTCTATTTCTGTATAGTTATTGAATTGTTCAAACTCTATGTCTTGAGTCAATTTTAATAATTTATATTTTCTTGTGAGTCTTAATTCTCTCTTTTTTTTTTTTTTTTTTGGAGAAGTTTTTGCTATAGTTTGCGTGTCCTCTCCAGAGAGACAGAGAGATAGAAAGCGAGAAATCACCTCTTTGGGGGATGGCCACGCCACGATTCCTTCCTTCCCCTCCATTCTCCTCTTGGGATCTTGAATACATATGCACATGTGCACGGCATGAGTTTAAGCCACTGGGTCCAGGACTTGAACCGTGGTTGACTACATGGGAGTCCAGCGACATAGCCATTACGCAATCTCCTGGTCCCAGGAATCTTCACTCTCATCCAGTGTTTCATAATTTTCAGCATAAAATTGTATACATTTCCTTACACTAGTATTAAATCTCCTTTGTTTCTTTGGCTATATCCATTTTCTTATTTTTTTTTTCTCTTTTTTTTTTTGAGAGATTTTCACTGTAGGGCGCGTGCGCTCGCCAGACAGACAGAGACATAGAGACAGAAAGTGAGAAATCACCCCCCAGGGGGGATGGTCACGCCGCAATCCCTTCTCCTCCATTCTCCTCTCGGGATCTTGGGCACGCACGCACACGCGCCCGGCGTGAGTTTTAAGCCACCGGGTCCGGGACACGAACCGCGGTCGACTACGTGGGAGTCCAGTGACATAGCCATTACGCTAACTGCTGGTTCCCCATTTTCTTATTTTTGATGTTGTGTAATTGTATTTTTCTCCTTCTTGATGAGCTTTGCAAGAGGTTTGTATATTTTATTGATCTTTTCAAAGAGCCAGCTGTTCTACTGTTTATATTCTAATCCTTTAATTTCTGCTTTTATCTTTTAAATGATTCTTTCTTTTACTTCCCTTAGGTTTATTTGATGGCAGTTGTTTTCTTAGCTTGTTGAGTGGAATAACTTAATATTTTTTTGTTTAATAATTTTAAAGGTAACTTTTTACCTTTTCTAACTTTTAAAGGTAACTTTTTCTTGTTTCCTCTCTCCTCAAATTTTAAACATCTCTTCTTTTATTCACTTTTAGTTGATGGACTTTATTTCTTTGGTGAGAAAATTGAAGCAGAAAAGAGCTTCCAGAGACTCTGCCTCCTTTCTCATCACCAGCATCTCCACTCCCATCGTCTTTCTTCCTGTTGGTTGCCATGGGGCCTTTTTTAGGGAAGATTTGTTTGTACTACTGACCCTGAGGCACCCCAGGAGCGTCTGGGATCAGTTCTGATCCCCTGCATAGGCTGACGAGAGAGAATGCGTGTGGCTGGCTTAGTGCATGGGGGCTTCTACCTTGGGACCATGCCTTTAGTAAAGTCATGTGGTACAAACATGGATAATGTATGTCTCAAGAGGCCCTCTTGAGATAAAGGACCTAAATCCTTTCTCCCACCTAGAGTCAGTCCCTTCATGTGTGCCCCCATCCTGTACCCTCTCAGCTAGCCAAATGAGACCTCTCTGGAATTTTCCCCACTTCTAACATCATCAGACTTTCCCATTCTCCTGAATCATGCATATCTACACAGAGACATTCTAAGCTCCATCTTCCATAAATCTTGTCTTGCCCTCACTTTCCCGCCAGAGGCCCACAATTTCATCACTCTGCCATGTAGTCAAAGTCCTCTGAAGAGTTACTTCCACTCACTCTCTCAAATTCATCTTACACTAGTTTCTCTTGAACCCAGTTTTAGGCTTTCATCCCTCGCTCCTTAGAGACAGCTCTTGTCCAGGTTATCAGTGGCTGACCTCCACTGGTTGTGAGGTCTGCTGACAAGCATCGGATCTCAGAACTTACCTTACATGACACAGTGCTTACTCTGTTTTCATGCGTGGTTCTACTTGGCCTGCAGGACTCAAACTCTTGGCTGTCTTCCTACCTCACTGGCTGCTCTTGTCGCTTTCCTTTGTTGGTTTCCCCTTTTCTCCCTGACCTCTGAATATTGATGAGTCCTGGAGTGTACTCTTTTTTTTTTTTGGAGAGGTTTTTGCTATAGGGCTTGTGCGCTCGCCAGACAGAGAGAGACAGAGAGACAGAAAACGAGAAATCACCCCCCGGGGGGATGGCTACGCTGCAATCCCTTCTCCTCCATTCTTCTCTCAGGATCTTGGGCACACACGCACACGTGCCTGACATGAGTTTAAGCCACTGGACTCGAACCGTGGTCGACTACGTGGGAGTCCAGTGACATAGCCATTACGCTAACTGATGATCCCGCCTGGAGTGTACTCTTACTCCTCCTCTCTTGTCTATGACTACCTTGTCCTTTGTGGCCTCCTTTAGTGTGATGGCTACCACCCTATGTATATAGCCCACAATTTATATCTCTAGCCCTGACCTCTCTCCTAAACTCCAGACAGACACATCCAGCTCCCTATTCAATGTCTCTGCTTGAATACTTACAAGACATCTCCAAATTAATGTGTCCTGAACCAAACTTCTCATCTCCCTCCCAACCTCATCCTGCTAGTCTCTTCCATCCTTTAAATGGCAGTTTCATCTTTTCAGTTGCTCAGGCTAGACTGAAATCAAGCCCTGCCTCTCCACTGTGGTCTGTGCTCTGCAAGGATCCAGCTTGCTCTTCTGCCCAGAATCTACAGTGGCTCCAGATTGTACACAGAGGAAAAGCCAAAGCCCTTCCTCAGACTTGGCCCCTGTTATTCTTCAGGCCTTACCTCCTACTCTTCCTTCCCTTTCTCCATTCTAGCCACATGGCTTCCTTGCGGATGTTTGGATATGCCAGTCTATGTGTTGCCTAATGGCTGTTTCAAGCCTCTGGTTGGAAATTCTTACTCTAGGTAGACATCCGGAGGCAAATTCCCTCTGCCCCTTTCAAATCCTGGCCAAATGTCATCTTCTCCACAAGGCTTCCACTGATCTTATTAAACTGCAATTTCTAGGGACCAGCAGTTAGCATAATGGTTTTGTCCTGGACCCGAGGCTTAAACTCACTCCGGGCACGTGTGCGTGCGTGCCCAAGATCCCGAGAGGAGAATGGAGGAGAAGGGATTGCGGCATGGCCATCCCCCTTGGAGGGTTATTTCTCCCTTTCTGTCTCTCTGTCTCTCTCTGTATGTCTGGCGAGCGTATGCGCCCTATAGCTAAAACCTCTCCAAAAAAAATAAAAAAATAAAAATAAATAAACTGCAATTTCTAACTTTATATATTTAATTAAATTTATTGATATTAAACTCTCAATATCTGACCCTATTTACCTGGCTCTAGTTTTGTTTTTTAGACATAGTGTTTTTAATTGTCTACCAAATCATGTACATTATTGCATTTGTTTTATTTTCTGTCTCCCTCATTAGAACATCAGTACCTGAGGGAAAATATCCTTGTACCTAATTTCCACTAATATGGACCAAGTACATAGAACAGTGTCTGGCATGCTGAGGCAATTCAATTAATATTTGTCAAATAAATAAATCAAGGCTGTGAAAGAGACTGACTGCAGCCATAAGATTTGATATTCAGCATCTTCATGCTTACTTCCTAAATAGTTTCTGGGATTCATAGTCTCTGAGTGGAGAAGATGCCATGTAGGGGGGCAGTCATGGTTGCACCGAGAGAGAGAAGTGTTCGAGGAGTGAGATCCTCCTTTTTTCTCAGATCTGCTTCTGAGGCAGAGCATGGGTCAGCTGTCGACTGTTTAGTTGAACAGGTATGTGTGTGAGTCAGCCAAGGGGTAGAATTAGGACACAACTTCCCACTATTTAAATACAATCTATTAGTGAAGAGAAGTGCAGGCGTGCTCTGAGCAGAAGCAGGAGTGCATTTCTGCCTTCTCATTAGAGTGGGCACTTCTGCAGGTTTTGGTAGAAATGTGTGCTGTCAACAGTCTTGGTATTTAGAGGTAATATAAAGATTCAGTTCTTTATACATCTTCAGTGACGTTCTGTGAGAGTTAGGAGAAGCTCCAGGAACTTAGACACCAGTCTTGTAAGATGTGAGTATCTGGAAGCCCTTGTCCACTATGTTGGTTGACCATTTCTAAGTTTTAAAAGGTTCTTTCTATTGATTATTCAAATAATCCTTCTTAAATACAGTGAGATCTATTTTACATTCTTGACTCTAGTTCTCCTATTTAGAATTATGGGCTTGAAAACAGCCCAGAACCAAGTCTGTTTCACAGCTATAGAAATGGCAGTGCTGTAGTTTAGAATTGCTACAGCATTTCCTTCTATAATTCTTTAAAAGTATCATCAGAGCTCATTGATAAGGTAAATGGTAATTATTTTCATTTTTGATACCACAGAAGTGTCAAGAATTTGATATATTAAGGGAAAGTGTTTGCTTTCTTACAAAAATGTTAAGATTTCATTATGGCTTTGTGAATCCAAGAAAATAAGAATCTTTAGCAAAGCTATTTGTGTATCTTTTTTTGACTAGTGTATTTTTCATGACCTCAGTTTGTCTCCTTTTTCTTTAATTTGCTGGTGGGTGTGTGTGCTCACCAGAGAGACAAAGAGGAGAGAGAGAGAGAGAGAGACCGAGCGAGCAAGCATGCACCCCACAGTGGGACATGATCTTCCTTTTCCATGCTGTCAGGATATTTGGAGCATGAACACACATGTGCCCTGCATGTTTTCCAAGATGTGGGGATTGTGGTCAGCTGTGTGAGATTAGGCTTTCTTTGTGCAGCACTTAACCACTGTGCTGTGGGTAGACTCTCCAGTTTCCTTTACTTTTTGTTTTAATTTCCAAATGTTATACATGCTCACCAGAAAGGAAAATAGGAAAGCCCTCTGTGGTGGGACATGATCACACCACAGTTGTTCTCTTCTGTACCTCTGTCCTATCAGGATTTGGGGGCATGCTTGCATACACACCCAGTTTTTCAAGCTACAGAACTGGGATTTGTACTGTGGTTGGCCGTATGGATCAGCTCCCTTAACCACTAGGCGACAGGTATGACCCCTTTTTCCTTTCTAATCAGAGATTGTTTTATTTATTTGTATTTTACTTAACCAGGTCTATTAAGAGAAATAAGCAAATTAAACCAAATCATATGCCATTATGCCTTGTGAAGTCAACTTTACTTAATTTGTCTCCTATTATTATTTTTTTAATAGAAATACTTTAGAAAGAGTATTTAGTGATGGTAAAATTTACAGTAGGCAAGTCCTTCCCTCAGCAGTTGCTGGAACACTTTGCCACACACATGGCCAGCATATTTCTGGGGATGGTGGGCTGGAGAAAAACAAAGGAGACATTTGAAAGTTTCACTCAGGGATGTAAAATATAAAATCATTACTTTTAATGGAATTATTTTATTTCCAAGCAAACATGGTGTTTGTACATTGGTCCACCTTACTAGGCAAGATATTAGTTTTTCCTTCTGGCTGAGAAAAGAGCTCTGTTCTCTTTGTTTTCTACAGAAGTTTTTATAATTTTGATTCTTTCTTGGTTTTTAATTACCAGAGGGGTTGTGTGCACACCAGAAAGACAGACAAGGAGAGGGAGCACACAACGAAGGGTGTGGTTACACCTCAGTCTCTTCTCTGTTCCTCCGTTGTCTCCTAGAATTTGGGGCACATGTGCATATGTGCCTGACATGTTTCTCAAGTTGATGGGGCCAGGGTTCAAACCACAGTTGGCCGTATGGGATCTGGGCTCCCTTAACCACTAGGCTGAAGGACCAGCCCCACAATTTTGATCCTTGATA